TGGCGGGGGATGCACTCCTCAATACGAGGGGCACTACCAGTTTACTCTTGGTATGTTGAGAAGATGAAGAAGATTTTTCTTTTTGAGAAACCGGTTTAGAGGTTTTAGCCATCGCAATATGGAAGATCCAAGAAAATGAAGAGTGTTGATAGTGAAGAGAAGGGAGAATTCAAGGAAATTGAAAAAGGCTAATGAGACTTTGAGAACAATATGAGAAAAGTTTGTCAGGTTGTGAAATTTATCTATTTATAGAGGTCATTTAAGCGTGTTAGGGAAGTCAAAAGGCCGGTCATTAGCCGCCTCCAATTAATGACTTTGGGAATCATACAAAAAAAAACTTTTCAGTCACTTCAGCCGCTGATGTTACGATATTGGCATAAGGATCAAGGCATCAAGGATTAATTCGTCAAAAATCATAAAGGGCAGTCTATAAGTCAAGATCGAACAGAGTACCCACTCGATTACTAAGCCCAAGGGCTATCCGAGTTTGAGGAATTTCTCACTCGAGGACTATGAAAAGTCCTAAGGGCTAACTTTGTTACAAGTTTGAGCAAATGCTCGCTCGACTACTAAACCCAAGGGCTACCCGAGTTGGAGAAATTTCTCACTCGGGGACTACAAAAATATCTAAGGATTAACTTTATTTCGAGATCTCGCTCTCACCTAACTCGGACTCGGGAATCATGATGTTCTAAGTTAGCATTAAAGCTCAGCTCGAGGATTAGCAAGAACCTCGAGGGGTATTATATTGGTCGATTAAAACCCAAGGGTTTACTATGTCCTAAGACTCGGTATTTGGGCTAGTCATTAAAATTATGCAATCGAATTTTTTACAAGTAAAAGATAGAACAAAATTCATCATGGGCCGAAATGGATACAAAAGGATCCTTTTATATTTCCAAGAAATGATTACAAAGTGTAACTACGACATGTACAAAGGATACTTACATAGGAACAAAGAAGCAAAAAACAAAAGCCAAAGAACCTAATCCACTTTTAAGACCACATCCTCGAGAGCATCGTCTTCGGAAACCTCCTTCCCAGGGGCACCATTCTGATCTTTGGAAACGTTTGTATGCCCGAAAAGATTTAGGGCAGAAGGCCCTCGACAAATGTAACTATGTCTCCAGTAGCCGAGATTGAGCATTCCGTTAAAATTTTGGGCCACGATACATTAAAAAGAACAAGCAAAGGGAAAAGACCAGAAGGGAAGACCAAAAGATGTAGCTTCACCTTTTGTCACAAGAAAAACCAAAATGGGTTGCAAGATGCACGAGAACAATCCAAGAGTGTTCATCCTCGGAACACTATTACGGTGTGGGATGCAAAATTTAGTAGGTGATAGTGCCACCTCGTTACATGGAAAGCAAAAGGAATGAAGCGCCACACCAGGTTGAAGTTAAGAGAGATGAGCAACAGTGTAAAGATTGCATATCTTCTAATATGGGAAGGATTCAGTGCCCTTCTCTCGTTGTCTCGAGCCGAAGCTTTGTAAAAGGGAGCCTTGGTGTAACTGGTAAATTTGCTGCCGTATGACCTTGTGGTCGCAGATTTGAACCATAAGAATAGGTGATAGGAGGAGGAAGTAAAGAAGGGAAAGGACTAAAATTAGATGAAGAGGGAATAAGTACAGTTTTTGTTTAGCCAAGTAGCCTCTTATTTATAGAAAGCCGACAACGGTACCAGTGGCGCAAGTGGCCGACAAATACTGAAATGTATTTGATGTTTTTGGAAAAGCATGCTAACATGACATTTCCGATCACTTCAAGCGCCTACATCACAAGCATGACATCATCACGAGAGGTTTGGAAAAATCGAGGTTCAAATCATTTCTTATCATCTTATTCTAAGAAATGCGAGGACTATCTGTATATGGTCAAAATTGGAGAGTTCGATTTCAAAGACTTGACCATACCCCGAGCTCGAGTCGGGAAGCTCGAGCTAAGAATCGAGCTTGGCCTGGATGTACGCACCTCGAGATGCAAATCGGAGACTCGTCATGATCTGCCTCGAGGGCAGTACAATTTCGATGGCACTCAAGAAAGAGCGGGAATTTCTCAAGGACACGTGGGTCAGGGCATAAATTATGGGATAAGATTTGTACGAAATAGTACAAGTCCGTACTAGGTTGTTATACAGTTTTACCAATAGAATTCTTTACCATAATTGAAAATGCACGAGTTTTCCCTCTTATATAAAGGGGAACCCAATCATTTATAAAGATTATCTCATTCACTGCAATAGAATATTATATTATGTTTTTCTCATTTACTGTACTCCATAATTGTTCTTTAGCTTTATTGTTTTTACTTTACTGTTCATACTTTGCTGCTCTTAGCTCACCTCGAGCCCCCAAAACAATCGAGCTCGAGGTCCTTATTGCTCTAACAACATAGTTTAATTCATTAATTCTTCTTACTTAAACTTAATATTATTTTTATATTCACTAGTATTGGAATAAATCACATATCTTTAAAATCACAAATCATACTTAATTGTTACTCACATTTTTCGAGGTAAACAATATATATAAGTATGAGTAATTTTAGGGCCTTTTTATATTTGTATTGAAGCAATTAACAATGATTTTGGAGTTAATTGTAAATTTACGAGATTGATGAATATAAAGCACATTCTTGATGAATCAAGAATAAATGAATAAATAAACATCCAAAATAATCTGAAGTTCAGAAGAGACTTTCCGCTGGTAGATCTATTGAATTAGTATTTAACACAACACCATAGGTATATTTTTAAAAACCCACCCCCTTCTCCCAACTCTATATAGACACTCCAAAAAAAGTACAGTATTATTTCCTTTTGTGGGTGCGCAAGCATGTTTTGTTATTTCCTTCTTTTTTTTGGTTAAACGGGATATAATATTAATATGCTAGTTAACAAAAGAAATTACATCAGGGACATTGCTGGGGTATTATAGTACCCCCATAGTTGTAATGTTATGCACGATTGTGTTTATATTACAACCCACAAAAGATCTAACTAATTCAGTTCCTAGGATGTCTGCCCAAAATTTATCGTTGACAAACATCGAAGTAACTGATAATATCCTAGACTTGTTCAAAAAGATTTCCTTTGCTATTTCTTTGGCCAATGCATCAGCTACTATATTCTTCTCTCGATAGATGTGCTTCACTACCACGTTGTCCATCATGTGAATTAGTGACCTACATTCACAAATTAGAGGATCATAAATCAGACTTCCATGCAATAGCATATTGATGGTTTCAGATGAATCAGTGTTTATTTCTAGGGGAGCCAAGTTGTTTTGCTCTGCTAGTTGCAGACCCCGTAGGAGTGCTTGTAATTCTGTCCTAGTGTTTGTTGTGTGAGAGATATTGTCCATGTATCCCAGTATCCAGTCACCATTATGGTTCCTAAATACTCCTCCTAATCCTCCTATTCCTGGGTTCTCCCTTGCTGCTCCATCTGTATTTAGCTTGTATAAACCTCTGGTTGGGGGCTCCCATTTTAACACAATATGATGTGTTACTTTTGAAGAGTCATTTTTTGTAAGCATAAGGTATTCAGTAGCTTTTGAGACTGTGTTTGTGGTGTTGATGTATTCCTTTTTATTATTGAATAAGTTATTGTTCCTAGTTAACCATATGTGTCAAAAGCAGAAGGGAATGAGATTGTCCCAAAGGATATAGCTGTTGAAAGGGACATTTTTGATAGAGTTCCATGTTGATTGCCACTGATGGCCATTGAAAAATGGAGCATGTTGTGAACTATTCTTTGAAGATTTTGATAGAATTTCATTCTAGAATTGGACAGCATTAGGGCACTCAAAGAATATATGGGAAATAGTTTCCTGAACATTGTCACACCTCCTTTTTACCACCCCGGAATGGTATAAGGGAGGTTTTTCAATTAAAGTGACAATCGAAACATGATTATTTATTCAAATCAGAGTCTCCACTTGGGATAATTTTTTGTGTCCCAAGTTACTGGTTCAAATCCAGAATCGAGGAAAGATTGACTTTGTTTTACAGTTCGCGAACACAGAAATCCGGGTAAGGAATTCTGTTAATCCGAGAGAAGGTGTTAGGCATTCCCGGATTTTGTGGCCGGGTCATATAAATGTACCCCCGAATTTTTAGAAATTAAATGTCACGACCACATCACGGGAACCGTACCCGTAGCTATGACAATTATTTAATTAACGCGCCTAAATCAAACTACGAAAGTTCATTATGGAAAAATGTAAGCATGTCACGCGAGCATGTACATAATCACGATAATAACTTCAAAACGTGCCTAAAGGTATTTCTACGATGTTTATGAGTTAGACAACAGTGTTTTCAGCAAAATATGACTTATTTTAATCTACCATTTCCTTCCTTAAACAGAATACTACACACACTATTTCCTCAAATAGGACACATATACAGACATAATATTTTTCAAGTTGATTAATTAGGAAATCATGTTAAAACGGCAACCAGACTTGCAAAGGTACTATATGCATACTTTGTTTCTAAATCCGACAATTAGCTTCAGCCATGTCAACTATACCTCAACAATAACATTTGTTATTCACATATTGTTCAACAACTCATAGAATTTATTTCATATTTATTGTTTAAATCTATAGCTCATTCTAAGTTTTAGCTAAACCGAGCGTTTCGACACCGATTCAAATCAAAACCACAAAATAGTCAAAAAAGCATATTCCAGTAAACAAATATCATATATACTGAACCTGTGGACACCCATTTATGCTCAAACCGTCTTTTATTTTAGTACCCAACCTTACTGCCGAATTCTTGATCTACATATCATTATGTTTAATCCAACTCTAACTTAATATCAACCACAAACAAGAACTATCAACAAACAGAATCAATCCAACTTAGATGACGAGATTCAAGATCAGAATAATCAATTAAAAGCAATTTAATAAAGGATGTCGACCAAACAAACACAAACCCCACAATCCATAACAAAAAACAATGAGAAGAGAAAGAGCTGAGCTGAACCTGTTCAGCCAATATCCTTTAAGGTTTTGAGAATCAATAGATACAAACTCCCAATCCACGAAATCTGTCCGAGAAAACAGCAGCAAATTCGGACAGGAATCACGAACTTAAACCTCGAGCGGCACCTCACGGTCGTTAGCTCCAAACGAATCTCACACGAAATCCATTTTTCAAACCAGAGAATTGACTCAAACTGAAAAAACGACCTGACCTTAATGTGAGTACTTCCAAGACTTAAAAACACCTCAGAGATGGACAAACAAACACCCCCGGCGTTCCTTCTCCTCCCTTTTCTGTTGCTGTATTTTTTATTTTTTTCCACTATTTCTCCTCCCTTTTTCTATTGTTGTTCCCCTATCTCCCTCCCATGTCTGTCTATATCTATGTGTGTCTGTGTATTGAAGCTGCTGGGAGATGAGCTGGGGTGATCAGTTGCGGCTGTTGTTGTTGTCTTAGGTTTTTAGGTGTAAAGGAGATGAAGTTCATGGGGTCTCTAGGTTGAAGAAGATGGTACTCATGGGTCGTTGGTTTTGGTCTGGTTGTTGGCTAAGCTCAAGCCATGGAGGGGAGATAGTAAGGTTTGTCGCTGGTTTTGAAATGGAGAGGAAGAGGATTGCTGGGGGTGGGGGTTCTTTTTTGATTAATGCGGTTGATTTTCTAGTCTTAGGTTAGATGCTTTTTTAGATTTTTAGGCGTTAGTCTAGAGGGTCTAGGGGTCTAGGTTTTATTTTGGATTTTAGGGTTAGGTTAGTAGGTATTGGGCCTAGGATTATGAGCTAGATCCGAATTGGACCAAACTTGGCCAAATATGCCTTTAGAAGTGGCCCTTTAACTCTAGTAGTCTAAAATATTAGCTCCTAAAATAACTACAAAATTATGAACTCATTTCAAATTAATTAAAGTAAAATTAAAATTAAAATTAAAATTGAAACCATTTTATATCAATTAGCTAAATAAATAAAGAAAGAAAAATACTTTTTTGTAATTTTCAATTTTGTGATAAAATAAAGTAAAAGAATCAAAATTAGTTGAAATAGCGATATTAGGCCTAAACTAAATATTTACATGCTAAAATATATAAAATCTTAGGGAGGGTCAAAAATCACATGTCTACAGCTGCCCCTCTTTGACTAGAAATACGAAGTATTTTTAGACAAAGAACGAGTAGACATGTTTTTTGACCCGACCCTTATTTAGAGAGACCAAAACTAAGAGGAAGGAGAATATGACTGAGCCCTGGTATCTGAGCAGCTTACATATCCTTGGTTATAAAGGAATCAAGCCACGTGTAGTTCAGAAGTGAGTGAGATGATGGAGTACACTGAGGTGGAGAGCCGATCGAGGTGACATTCCGTCGAGGTTTTGGTCCGTGACCCTATTATTACATCAATAATCAAAAAATAAAAAAGACTAGCTAAGCCTGTCAATTATGAGTTACAAGATTCTTATCTATAAGTCTTCTAAAGCTTGATCTTGAGTCTTGAATGGCTCTTCATGCAGACTCTAGATTTGAACCTTGGCGCTTG